GCAATAATTTGTGTAATTCGCATCTCGGTTGTATAATTCACGTGTTTTGGAACGTATATGGTGATAAAACTGAAAAACCAAACGAAATCATCGTCATATGCAAATACAAACCATCTTATACCAATAAAAATCAAACGAAGAATTGTTAATTGCGGATTATACAAATGTGGCGAATTATACAAACACGAAGTTAGCCCACATAATTAATAGTTAAAGTTAATTGCAAGTGGTAATTATAGCAAGCTATAGCTACAATGACTAATTAAGTAGTATAAATTCGCTTAACCGTGTAATTTTCCCTTAAAATAACCAGAATTGTAATAAAAGGGGTTAGGTTTCAAATTATGGCATGACCATATAAATTTCAATTATGACCAATTGTAATTAATATGGAATATTTTCCTTTAAAATTGTTTTTCTAAAAAATTGATTGTTCGTTGCACCGAAGAATGTTGTTTATGATGTTTCGAATATTGCACTATTCTGTTGGTATTACTGTTTTCTTATTAGTTGTTATATTTACTGTCACTTTACATTTTCATACATACTTTAATTTGTTGTGTTCGAGCCAAGGATCCTACGAGAACATCTTCTCTATTTTCACGAGGTAGAAATAAGGTTTACATACGTTTTATCTTCCGCAAACCCCACTCGTAAAATTATACTAACTATACCATTATATATTTCAATGATATTAATAAATTGATTGATTGAACGAAATATTAGCGGAGCTTATAATTTTAGCATAACACCTAGGAGATGAAGTCGGAATGTACGTTCCCACACATCACTTGATAACATTAAACGAAGCCTCCAACTTCGATGCATTATACATTTTTTTCATATATAGACTATATTATATAGTACATCTAATTTTTTTTAAAATATTATACATTGAGTGAGTTAATGATGCCGGTGCCTCTTATCTGTCGTCCTAGTAATTGCTGACTTGTTTTTATTCCCATGCATCTATTAAATTTCATAACATGCATAATGCCAACTCATATAATAATATTCTTCAGAATCTAAAGGGCAAAAAAATGTTTCAATATCAAATTTTAAGTTATTGACCTTTCAAGTTCTTAAGAGTGTTGTCTAATCATGAATGAACTTGAATAAAATTTTAGAATTTGGATTTAAATTTTAGTAGTGTGATATCTTTTAGGCATAATACATAAATTGGACCCTTAACTTGGCTTCAAATTATAACTTTGACCTTTAACTTTGTAAGTGCACAAATAGGCACTTTAACTATCCAAAATTTAAACAAAAAAACATTCGGATCCTACCTGGTAAAATGCGTGAAATACACTCAAATTAGGCGCGTCAGATGTAAAAATCGAGGGGGCCAACAGTAAAAAAAGCATTGAAAGGACAATTAAACCCTCTTTATATTTTTTCAACAATTTTCCCCTTTTTTTTGCATTATTTGTTGTTCACTGCAAAATGCAGGTGATATTTAATTAAAAAAATTGTTATTACGAAAAAAAATGATAATGAAGTTTTTTTTTGGCAAGAAGGAAAAAGGAACACGTGTAGTACTAAATTTTTTTTTTGAGATTCAATCAATTTTTTTTTGTCTCTGAAATAT